ACAACAACAACAACAACAACCACAACATAACATAACATAAGACCACTTGCAAATCACCTTGACCGTCCCACGCTTGTTTGAAACATCGGCGACGATCGTTTGGGCGCATCCACTCCAGCGGCTCGGTTTGGGTGGGTTTGGGCAGAATTCCGAGCGACCGAGCCATGCCAGCAGTGAGGCACCAAGTAGTCGACCCAAAAGAAGGATGCTACATTGCTACATGGGTTGCTAGTAGCGTGGGGGCCACGTAAAAGCCTTGCGAACTCATGTCAGTCAGGATGAAACCCATGTGCCGCCCTCTGGTTGAGTTGTCCATGGGTGTGGAGGTGTTTTGACATCTTGTTCGGTGTGGCATTGTGTTCGACCATCCTGCTGGATTTGGAATGGCGTTCGGCTAAATGGCAACTTTGCAGAGAAACAACAAAGAAAGGAGACGAAAGAGGAAAAAAAAGAAAAGAAAAAAAGCGTTTGATGTTTTTCTTTTGCTTAAACTCCACCAAATGATATCCACACTGGCAAAACCAGCTCGGTAGCAAAATTGTGATTGGTTGCACTAAATCCGTTGTGCTGAAAATGCAAATCCGTACTCTGTTGTACTCCTGTTCAAGAAAAGGTCTGAGAACACCCAAACGAACGTGAAAAAAAGGCCTGTTAAGACCGGATTGCGTGATCTTCGACTCCAAAAAGACTACTGCGGACTCCGGACTCAAACACGTTTCGATTCCTCCAATAACGTCATCTTCCTTCTGGTGGTTCAGAACAGACTACTGTGCCAGGGAGGTGGCGAAAGACCCAGTCAAGCGACGATAAGGGTTTGGGGTTTCAGGTTTTGAACAGCCACCCTGCCTTCGGCCGACCTGCGCACCTCGGCGACTTCTCGCCGACGGCACGGCTGACCCAAGCCAACGGCACGGGTCACCACTAGTCACCACAGCAGGGTATGGTGCAAAAAGAGTGTCATACCTACTATGCTGCCATCTGAGACTATTACAAGTCAATTTAATGAGTCATTTGAGTCCTTCCAAGTGATCCTGCGAGTCCAAGACTATTCAAAAAACTGTCAAAATGGTGACCCGAAGAGGAATTTCCTTTGCTTGGGTGGTGCGAAATATAGTCTTCGCACTTCACATCGATCTAGTAATTATTGACATCCAAATGTACGTATCCTCAGCCAAAATGACGACCTCCGCCGTCGCGGCACGGTTAAGGAGATGTTTCGCTCTGACCGTTCCAGCTCCAACAACGGGTTTCCCGGCAGCTCTGCGACTCCAAAGCTCCGCTGCAGTTCGTTCCTCAACTCCTCAGCACCTCGGACAAACCGCGTGGTGACTTGAAGAAAACCTGCTGACACGGTCCTTTTGAACTATAGTTTCCCACTTTGAATGACAAAAACGGTCTACCTGGCGCTGGGTCAAACTTCTTTTTCGAGGACGCCAATGGTTGGAACCCCCAACCTATCTCTCTCACATGGTCACTGGATGTCACATGATGTCATGGGCTGTTTTGCAGCACCGACGGACAGGGGAAACTGCAAGGGACAATGAGCAAAAGAAACCTGTCTTTGTTCAAGCTGAGGTGTTCGATGAGATCGCAGGACAATTCTACGGGCATGCGGCACTGCACAAAGGATCCTCTGTGTTCACACACGCCCTCTGTCCCTAGACTGTGTGTTTTGTGACGTGTTGTGTGTGTGTGTGTGTGGCACACTCTGTATCTAAGAGTACTCCACTTTTGATTCCTACAGCAGGGGGGCAAGGCCTCCAGCGACGAACCTTGTCCAATGAAGCTAAGTCGCTGGGGGGGAAGCAAATGGAGACGTCCATTTGTGCACCTGCTTTTAACTGCCTTTTCTTGCTGGTGATTCTAAGTAGAGCTCACGCTGTTCCATTTCTGTGTTGTGCAGTCAAGGGCTAATGCAGTAAAGGGCTAACGAGTTCGTTGATCCAGCTTCGGAACTTATGCTCATTCACTTGAGCTCTTTATCGGGGCGTGTGGGTGGGTCGGGGCGTGCCGGGGTCATGCCCTGCTTTCAAGGGCATGTCTTTCGCCATCACTGCTAATCTCTCCCTCTCCCTCTCCCTCTCTACCCCTCTCTCTCTCTCTCTACCCCTCTCTCTCTCTCTCTATACCCCTCTCTCTCTCTATCTCTCTACCCCTCTCTCTCTCTATCTCTCCCTCTCTCTCTCTCTCTATCTCTCTACCCCTCTCTCTCTCTATCTCTCCCTCTCTCTCTCTATCTCTCTACCCCTCTCTCTCTCTCTCTCTATCTCTCCCTCTCTCCCTCTCGTTGCCACTCAAATGTACAGCATCAGCTCTACGATTGGAGGGTAACCTGGATCCATCAAAGCATACCTGGATGTTCGAAACGGCACAAATAATTTCCGTTTGATTACGTCTTCTTTTCACTGAAAAAAAATGTGCCATTTGACCTTGCCAATGTGGGGCAACCAGGGCGACGGATTTTCAACTTCGCTCGTTGCTCCAACGACCCATCAGCCATGAGACTCACAGTCAGACCATCTCGTCCCCGAACACAAAGCGATGTGGAAAGCTGCGGAGGATTTGCCACTGTTCATGCGCACGTTCAACATGCGACAGAAACTGGCACATTCATCCTACTTTTAAACTTTTAGACCCTATAATTTATATGCCCTTCCGCGACCCTCAGCCGCGGACTGATTTGCACGGGAGCCTCTCCAGGCGCCACCTGCAGTCGACGGTGATCCGGTCGAGAAGAGGACTTAAGTCGTCAGAACTTGCAGTCCACAGCCTCAACTGAAAGAGAAAACGGTGGTTTTGACTGAACGACCTTCCTAAAAAATAGATAGACCCCCAAATAGATAGAAAGTAGATCCCCACATATCCCCGCTAAAAATGTATTGGAAACCGTGCCACTATCATCCACCATTTATTTGGGGACCACTATAGTGCATGGGGATACAAGCGCAGCTGTGTGTTTTGAGGATGTTTGATGAAGAACAGCAACAGCCTGAAACTGCGAAGCATGAGGAAGAGCCAGCAGTCTCGCCATATGCTTCCTGAGTGCACAGGAAAGACACACCAAAAGGGGTGTAAGCTGCTCCTGCTTGTAAGCGAGATCATTGAACACATGGTCTTTCTATGTAATGTAATTGAGCTATATAAGCAGCTTATAAGCATATTTGAATGATCACAACTACCATCAGCTGCAGATCCAAGCATCTGACTCTGTTCATACAGTATCAAGGCCACAAGGTTCAGTGAGCCACGAGCCACGAGCTGTTAGCCATTCATCTTCGGTCCCCCTTAAAATGTGTCGTGCACCGCCGTTCATCCAGCCCCCAGCTGCTCGGAACCCCCACAGCAGCGAAACCTTGGACACCGCTGTCTGGCCACCTCGGCGGCATGACCGATGTCGAACAGGAAGCTGAAGCTGTTGGTGACATGTTCTTGGTGAAGTGATCGTCCGATAGTCTTTTCTGTCATGGAATCTTAGATGTCTTAAGATGTCATGATGTCATAAGCCTTTCTCAACTGGAGGTATCACCATAAACTTGTGGGTGCTCGTTGACATATGGCATGACCAGTCTTTGCGAGCGAAATGACCAGTCTAGTCTTGTTCAATCCAAAGAGTGAAGCCTCTGCCAAGCTAGGGAAAAACAAAAAGAACAAAGTCCATCCCATCTGAACGGATCAGCTCTCTGACCCCATCCCATCCGGGTCAGCTCTCTGCCTTCAATCTGGGCAGCGATCAGTTTGGCCCTCCGTGCAAGCTCGCGCCTGAGGGGTTGGGCCCTCAGAAGGCCCGCGGCCCCTGGAAGTTCTCGGCTTTCGAAGGAGACGAAGAGCCATGGGGAGGTTTTGGCACATCCAGTTCTGCTTGGAGCCAGGACATGTGGCTGGTCAAACGAACCAGGCGGGACCTTGACCACGGGAAATGAACCTAGAAGAGAATACTATAGCCAGGTCAACGTGGATATACATGGATGGTGGTGGTTTTCGGCAGTGAGAGACTATCGCATCCACTCGACATGCGCCGACCCAGAGGACTTGTCCCGCCGAGAAATCGCAGAAGCGGAGCTGCGGCTCCAACCCGTGTCCGCCCAAGGGAAGCGGCGGTTAAGCAGTCGGCTCTTTGAACTGAATGAAGAGGGCCGTGGAGGAGTTGCCTCTGCGGAGCCGCAGATGCATTCCATTCTGCGCCGGAAAAGAATGCTGGAAGGCCAGAGGCAGCTCGGCTTGGGAACTCAATCTCACCAGTGTAGCCCCCTCCAAATCGGACTCATTCCCAGCACCTCCAACCTCATCTATGTTCACAACGGGTCACTTTCAATCCATGGGCGAAAACATCCGGAACCGGGTAAAGGGTTGATCGACCTCTGTGGCTCCAAAAACTGATCCTTTAAAACCATCTACAACTTCCAGGTTTTTGGGTCAACTTGGGTCCCTGGGTCAAAACGCATCCACTTGAGTGAATTCCAACCAGGGAGACCGAGCGACCCATCACAGCGACCCGGTCGCGTGGGACCACGGTCTATGGACCGTCTACCGAACCCGATCCTCCCCGTTCCGATCCCCAGGGTGGGAAGAGGTCCAGCCAAGACCCATTGGTGGGGGGTCGATCTCCCCATTTTTCAATACACACCCAAATACTAACCATCAACCCAAACCATCAACTGGTTTGAGGGTGTGGCTGAGAAGGTGGCTACCATGGTGTATCCCGGATACACTCAATCAAATACACAAACGAAACCAACAACCCAAACTGACATGGACAATGGCCGCAAGTCGCCCGCCCTGCCTTCCTTGCCTTCCTCCAGCGGCTCCTGGAGGAAGACCACCAAAGCATGTGGTGCGTCCAGCCGTAAAAATGAGCAAAAAAACCGAGAAAACAAAACATGCTATGTGCCTACAGCGGCATGCGATGCATTTTCAATTCATGTGGCTGGGTGCCTAACAGTCGGTGCGGTGGCTCATGCCCGACGGCCCAGTAGTGTGGACACAATGCACTCTGCTTACTTGAGCCGCAGAGTGGGGGGAGTGCGTGTGAGCAGCTGTAGCCCCTTAAGAGCCGGTTGCCCCGGTGCGTGCCCCAATGCCTGGTAGCTGTGCTTGTAGCTATCCAGTTTGGGTGGTGTGTGGGCATAGACAAATGTTTCGTAAATTTAATTTATAATACAATTTAATGTTCGTCATACACTTATGAAACATGTTTGGTCATATTCCTCTTCTCTCCCAAAGCAAGCTCCATATCACCGCGCATCTCCGCGCCTGGCGGTGCAGTTTTGAGGCCTGGCGCTGACGTCGCGTCGCGTGAAATGGCGACGTCGGGAGAAATGAACATGGCGTGCCTTGAATCACATTTTACAGATCAGGTACAGTCAAAATTTATCATGTGCGGCTGTTGCATCCTGAAGCTAGTTTTGTGATCTTGCACAGCTCTTCAGCTAGTAATGGCACGGAAAAGGCTCCCAACTTGGCTGAGCCAGAGGCAACTCAGCTGGGCTGTGCGCTTCTCTTCAGACTGACACATGGATGTCCAGGCTCTTTTGATTGCCCAACGAAGACAAAAGACGGTATTTGGAAACCACGTTTCCGAGCCAGTTGGCACCAGGTCTCCTTGTTGGCACCTTTTTGGATCCTCGACATCACATCCGATCGCGTTCCTGCCTGGCGCCGCAGCACTCGCGCATGTTTCAATGACTTCTTGGCCTGCACAGCGCGAAAAAAAAGTGATCACGTAGCTGAGTTCGAGAAATCTGACTAGCTGAGCCTGCATGACAAGCCTGACAAGCCTGCAGAAGTCGGGATGATTGTCACAATGCTTGGAACTGAAAATCTACACTTATGTTGAGACAGACTGAAATACTTCGGAATTGCATGCGACTTCCAAACCGCTACGTCTTTTCACTCATTCTCCTCCCCCTATGACCTCATATCCACTGGACTGTCCATCCCCCAGTCGTTGCCTGGGGAAGGTCTCCTGTGAGGAGCGAGGACTCTGCCAACATGGTCCACAGACCTCGACGCCGGGGGCCCGAAGCAAACCATGAAAGAAAAAGGTGTTCACATACAAAAACCTTTTTCTTTTTGCAAGGGAAAACCAGGTTTTTGATGGTTTGTGGGGCCCCTGGTATGCAATCGTTCCTTTTTTTTGCTCTTTGTCATTGATCACCTGCAGCACCATGGAAGTCCTGCATGCAGATTGATCACATGATACCACATGCAGCAATGCAGCTGCTGTCATGCATGTAGTTGCTGTCTGTTCTTCAGCAACTGGAACACCTGCTGTCTGTGTTGGCTTCAGCAACCGCGTCGGTCCAGGGTCGGTTCCGTGAAAAATGCCCACGCCGAACAACTGGACCTTGTAGTATCGCCGAGGTCCTTTGCCACCATACTCGCCCGCGTTTTTGGGGGATGCTCCCGTTGTCAATCGACCGAATGCATGATAGTGCATTAAATAGGGACACCTCCCAGTTCGACCCCCTGGAAGAGGGATAGACCAAAACCATCCAAAACCCATTGGGCCAGCGCTCCCTAGTAAATTACAGACCATTTCTGACCCATATTCTGATGATGTACCAAAGCAGCCAAATTTTCTGATTAATATCCAGCCTGTTGAAAGTTGAAAGGCAGCCAACAAGAGAAACGGCACACGGTGGCCAAGCGAACAGAAAGAGTCTTCCCCTGTGCACACAAACAACAAAAACAGCCACCAAAAAGGAAGCAAAACTAACATAAACTAACAGGAGCCGCTTGCAAGTGATTTTCAAGGGAATTCCCTGACTGAGTCGCTCCAAAGTCCCTAGGATTGTTACGTTCGTGGCTGTAGCGTCCGAACGCTCCGTTCGTAGCGATGCCCTTTGTTACTGGTAGCTTCTTGCTCCGTTCGTAGCGATGCCAGGAGCCGTCAGGGAACCAACATGGAGACACCCCAGCCCCGAGCCATCGGACGCCCCGTCGCTTCCTTCCTCGAATCTGGGCTCCAACTGGCCCGGCTGCGCAGCGCCGCGGCCCGGCCTCCTGTGCCGAAGAGCACGAACACGGCGCCGAAAAGGTGAGCTACCGGTAGAAGTGAACAGGTGAAGCCTGTCCCCAGGGCTCCAGTCGTACCTTCGTTTCGAAGGTGGGACTGAGGTGGGTGCCAGGAGGGTCCAGTCATACCTTCTGAGGAAGTACTTGGAGGTGTAGGGTGTCTGAAAATGTCTTGGAAGTCCTTTTGGTCTACCAAGACATACCGTAGCTTTTTGAGACAAGAAGAAACACCAAGTGACACCCCCAAAGAATGAAAGCTCCCCGAAGTCCGTCGTGGACGCATGTTTGCCTTCACGCGAGCCGCAATGCGTTCCGGGCGGATGAAGGATTCGGCGACAGCGACAGCAGCCCGCCTTCCCAGGTGCCAAAGGCTTCACCTGGGCTAAGCTAGCCTCGATGTTGACCTCTTTTCACTGATCCATCCTTCTCAGTTTTTCTGTTCAAACAAAGCTCTGTGGTTTTCGATTCGGACAATCTTCACTCAGCTCTGCACCATCAGGTGCTCCTTCTGACAGCTTGATCCTGGAGAGAACCGTCTCGATGGAGCGAAAGCTCGAGAGCCGACAGCATACGGCATACGGAACCAAAACAAGGGCATACGGAAGGCATGCCTTCCAATGTTCGGCTTTCTTCAGGAATGGATCTTTCCAAACATCCAATCTGTGTTCATCTCGAGAATTTGAGATTGATTCAGAAGTGACACGATTCGTGACATCATCGCACTGCACGTTGGTTCGGTTCAAACACGCCCCCCCAAGTCTTCACGTCGCTTCTTGGTCGTTGTCCACGCCACGCGAAGCCGCGGACCCGTTCGCCCTTGGGTCGCTTGGAATGGGCGCCTCTTCAGCAGCCGTCGTGCCGCGGCGACCCGAAAGCCTTGACAAAGCAAGGCCACCAAGTACTCACTGCTGGTGGCCTGGCGAGCCATGAAGCCGTTGAACTGGAGCTGAATGATGAGACTGGATATAGATGTCACATGCATGCTGAGATAGGGTGGTGATGGTATTGATGGGTTGCCTCACGTTTCTATCGCGACGTGAATCGCTGCGTTTCGGAGTGGCCCGCAGCCATCCACGTCCGGGTTCGAATGTTTCGCCGGGACCACATCCGGTGCCACTCCCCAGTCGTTCTCCATTTGCCTTGGAGAACATGGTGCTCAAAGAAGCGGAAAAATCATCTGAAGGCAGTCTGATGGTCGGCCATTCGGTTGATTTACTCGCCAATTGTGATCAACCCCTGTCTCATTTAGGGTGGATTCTATCTTGTTCTGTGCACCAAGCAGCATGCGCTCGTTTCAATACATGGACGACAATGGCATGGACGGACTCGTTCTGATCTCATTCGGACATTGGACTCGACAAATCGAGGTGACCAACGTGAACCTGCCACCGACTGGAATGGCAGTTGGGTAAGCACGCCATGATTCAACACGACGTGTTCCAGTTTGAGAACTGGATCTTTTCCATTGGAGAACTGGATTCGACTGCAATGTTTTATGATGTTTTATGAACTTGCCATGAGGTAACAATCATGTGAACCTTCCACTATTTGTCTTGCGCAAAGGTCTGTCACAGAGGTACCTCTCTAGAAAACAGAAGTGTTCTTGAAGACCCTCCCCAAGACTGCCCAGTTCAAGGAAAGGCTTGGATTCGTCTTGGCATGTTTTGGCATATGATCCTGCAACTGATCCTGCAGAACTTGTGCATCAAAGTTCTCAGCTGAACCTTCTTTCTCTCGACCAGAAAACCCCTCCTAGGACGGTGGAACTTCCAAAAACCGCTCCAAATCACCAAATCTTCACCTGAGTCCTTCACATCTGAACCTCCACCTGCCCTGGAGATCTCCCCCTCCTCAGTCCCCTCCCCTCCATCCTTCGAGGCACTGAAGCAACTCCACCGAGGCGTCCACCTCGCCGGCGCGGCGATAGCCTCGCAGGAGCCTAGCGACCAATCTCGGATGACCCAGGCGGCAGGGGGGACTGGAAACGGCCCAGAGAGGTGATCCAGTGATCAGTGAATTTTTTGGCACCCTACAGGGGTACCCTATGTCTTTCGGGTTGAACCGCTGTTTTTTTCGGGTTCCGTGATATGTTTGGCCCAGAAAAACCACCTGTTTCGAGTGTGTCCTAGAAGTTGAACTTGTGCCAAAGAACTGCCCTTCCCAATGAGCGGGCAAATGGAAGTTGATTGTTCTGCAGTTCTACTATGGTCTACTGCTCCTTTTGAAGTCCTGCAGTCAGCTCTTTGCAGGCAGAGTTGGACTTTCATCTGTGAAGTTGCACACCTCCTGCACTTGTCTGGGCAAAAACATGTTGCGAATCACAGAAATATCCCATGAGATTCCTATCCGCTCAGACTGCCCGGACTGCCCTATGCCTACTCAGACTGCCCAGACTGCCCTATTCCTACTCAGACTGCGGCTGCCCACTCGCAGGCGCACGTGTTGGCGGTTCGGATATTGGGTTGACACTTGTTCTCGAGCATCTCCTGCAGGGCCTGGATCGATTGACGGCACGGAGCGTTCTTCGTCCCAAATCCGGCAGACCCTCAAGTCCGGCCGTTTTCTGCACGAGAAGTAAGCATGGATCAGAAGACATGTTTGTTGCCTTGAGCAAATCAAGGAGTACAATCACATAATCACATAGGAGTACCGTACCTGCAGTGTATATGATGATGATTGACCTTTGGAGCTCCTGTCCCACATCCGAAAAGAAGCCAGGACTGACCCCCCAAACGGAGGGCACGAGATGTCAGGAGCAGCAAAACGGGATCAAATCAATTCAAAATCTAGCTTGAAAATAGACCGTTTCGGCCTCACGCGCTTGATCCATTTCACCAGCTTCGCACAAGCCCTTCAGCAGGGTGGTGTAGGCGACGACCTCAGCTCCGTGGGAAAAACACGGAACACATGGCCCAAGTCAGTCTCTTCACGACAGGTTGTGCAGGCGCGGGGAAGAGATGTATGTCCAAAAAAGACACATGTGTTCTGGCTGAACAAAAGGATTCCCTACCGCTCACTGAAACCTCAATTGAGTTGGTGAAGCACGAATCGAACATGGGGAAACCTCAGGAGACTGGAGACTGGCTCGATCGACTGGAAACCGGGAAGAAGGATGAAGAAGGTCGTTCCCCACGCATTCCATCGCATTCCTGGTTCCCCACGCACGCCGCAGAGAAAGCCAGGTTCCCCTGGCGCCCGGGTTCACCCCGAAGCTGGCTGAGGCTTTGAGCCATCGTCGCGCCTGGCGGATCGCCCAAACCCACCGGACGAGCGCCGACGTAGCGGACGTAGCGATGGCTTGGATTGACCCTCCTGAAAAGAACGACCTCCTTTGAGTAGAATCATCATGTGAAAAAGAGTTGCGCGACTCATGATGTGCAGCCTTCGGGCCACCCGTCCGGTGCCACCAACAGGGCGAAGTTTCTGTCTTCACAAGTCCCAGTCCCACCTTTTGACCTCGTTCTTTCTGTGACACAACCCTCATGAACCTCCTCACCCCGCGGCGCACGCACCACCCGTTCGCCGTTCGACGGCTTCTCGACCGGGCCGCGCCTCCTGCAGGTCGCCGACGCGCACCGCGGCGTTCACCAAGGCACCAAAGGTCTGGGCCTCGGTGGCCGGCGCGTGGCAGGTGGGTTCGGCGCGTGTGGCAGCTCGTGGGGGAAGGAGAGGTAGAGGGTCCTATTGGGTTGTTTGATGCGGGGTATGCAGCTGCTTGTTGCGTCGGGGGAGAATCAAGGGTGTTCCATGTTGGCTTCCTTTTTCGTTGAAGTGGAGACCATTTTCCTCTACAAACAAGGGGTTGTCCACTTCCATGTTAGTTGCAGGGAGAGTACTATGCTTTTTGGGACTCTGAAGAAAAGAAAGGGGCAAATCATTAGAACATCCGTCACCAATCGCTTTGAGGTTCCACGTGGTTCCACTCTTGACCTTCCGTGTTAGTTCTAGGGAGTGTATCTAGATGGTGTTGAAGCTCAATTTCTTCAGGAAGTTTCTTCAGAAAAGGTGTGGTGCTTGCATTTCAGTGGATGGTAACGATTCTTTGGCATCGCTGTTCGTGTTTTGTCCATCCACCACCCTGCAAGTGAATGTCCGTCTGCTCGAGCTGGGGCTGCAGCACTGGGTTGCAGCTTCTCTTTCAAAATGTCTTCGTAGGCCTTTCGCGCCTGCTCTTCTACCATCAACTGGGGGACTGTTCTATGAAATGAAGAACCCACGAATTGATGGGTCAACACATGTCAACACAGAGACGTTGGGAGAGAAAAGTCGAAGATGAATGCCATCTTCATCTCCGCTTCGATGGGTGACACCTTTTGGGGCATCTCCTTTGCAAGCTGCTGGAGAACTCCCTTCGCCTCCAATTGACGCTAGCTTCCCACAACAGGAAACAGGGATAAGCACCAGAAATATTCAGAAATTCAATGAGCCTCAGGGCTTATCTAGGTTCTTTTTAAAGGGGCACAACTCCACAAAAAGTAAGATCTACCCTGATCTCCCAAATAATGTACGGCTTCAAGAAATCTTGACATTCTCTCAAAATACAGGAAACAGCCTGGTGTATGGCTGTTCTTATCCTCGAATCTCCACGCGGTTCCAGCCTACCTTGACCCCACTTCCCCCTGCAGCCCCCTCCAGCAAGCTTTTTCGTTGCAGAAGGCCACGCCCAGATCGGCACGGCAGTACCTGGGGGCCGCGGCCGTGTCTTGTGAGGATGTCGTGATTTCGTAGATGGTTTGCAACCAGCTCTCCAGAGGTTTTGCCCCAGAAATATGTCAAGCCCCCCAAACCTCCGTCTCTACCAAGCTTCATCTTGCGATGAAGCTTAGCTCTGTCTCTTGAGGGTCTCAAGAGATGGTGTTCTTTTTTTGAGGACCTCTACTTTGAAGGTACGACAAAAAAAACTCTGCTTGTGGCTGGGGGGTTAAGCTTCATGGGAGTGAAGAATTGCAGAAGCAGAAAGCTCCGAGCCAAGCTGCATCGCTCCATTCTGCTGAAGAGTAGGGAGGTCCTGCCAGTCGCAGGTTGGTCTCAACTGGTGAAAAGTAGAGTGTGCTCAGAGTAGGTGACAAGAGTCTCGAATTCGATCCATTCAGAATTGGATTCATATCAATTTAAACCTCTTGGGATTGTCTATCATCTCTATACCTGCTTTGAACTCTCAGTCTTCCTGGAGCTGGTCTTTGAACTTGGAATTCTTGCGATGAGAAGCAGCACTCAGATCTCTAAGTTTGATCGAAGCAACACGTGTCCATCCGACGTTGTGCCCACGACGTTGTTTCGTTCGATCAGGGATGATGAGGGACACCCCCAAAAGTGCTGGAGGACTCCATCGAATTCGTCTATGTTCGTCGATGTGGTGAAGCGGAAGAATCTGAGATCGTTCGAACGATCTTAGATTGCGGACATGTCGTCTAAGCTGTCATTGCTCGACAGCATCAGCGGAGTCAGCGTTCAGCTGGCGCCATCCTGCGATGTCTTGCATCTCCACGGTTCCAACACCCGCATGGAGTGTATTTCAATAGGGAGACCCTTCCAAGGACTCACTCAGGAATCGTGGACTGGTCTATTTGCCGAACCGACCCCCAGGGGGTCGAACTGGCAGGTCTCCCTATTTCTGGCTCCAACCACATCCAGGTGGTTAGACCCCTCAAACTTACCCCAACCACCTTCTCAGGAGGTAGTTGGAGGAAATACACACCCACATCTCCGGTCCTTCCAACCCACAGACTCCAGCATTGCCAGAGCATCCGCAGGCAGGATCGGCGCAGCCTGCGAACACCCATCCCCTACACCGGGAGAAAAATGGAGCGAAACTGAAACACTCCAACCAGGGAGCGGTTTTTTTCCTGAACATCAAAAAATGCCGTCTCAGAACTCGTCTGCTCTTTTGGATGTTTTCCGCGACGCGAAGGAGTCACCTACTTATTGATTCTAAGAAGGGGTCGATGGTCTATGATGGTTGATGGTCTATGATGGTCTATGGTCTATGTGCTGCTGATGTTGGACGGATTGGATTCAGCATGATTCGGCATGATTCACCTTTTACGTGGACAAAATTCCGCTCGATTTGATTCGTCCACTGCGCATTCCTCCACTCCTATGAGGCATCCGTCCGTTGGGTGTCATACATCACAAATCCATAGCTGGTCCCCAGGCCATCATGTGCTGCCCACCTTTGCCACGGCGCCCGGCTCCAGGTGCAAACGCCGCAAGAGCTCATCTGGGTCGTCCGTCATCCGTCAGCGTGGTGCTGCGGAGTCATCGGAAGATCCATTATGGGGGAAGCGAAGGTGTCCGAAGGGGTCATCTGGCAAAACAAAGAAGGGCATCCTCTTCCGCGGTCTCGTTGACAGGTCGTCTGTCCAAACACCTTCTGGTTTGAACATACTGGGGGTTTTGCAGACCCATCTGACTGGCTGTCGACTGATTATATATACATGCCAGGAGTCACAAAGGGGTGCCGAACTTGGAGGAAGTCCGGGTGCCTGTCACATCCACTCACTGGATGTGACTACAGTAAAATTTGAGTAAAACCCCCAAAAAAATGTAACTCCTGGGAGATTTGCTTTATATGCTATATTTAAACTTCACTGATTTGCTCTTTTTCGATGACAAGACACTGCTGCCGCGCCAGTTCTGCGCCACTTCGTTGTGACCTCCACAAATGGTTAGTAACAACATCATATTCTAAAATGGCCCTGAAAATGCAATCTTCCATCCTCTGAGAGGCAAAACTAACCGTCACCTTCATCATCCTTCATCTATGTCTCCCCGTGGAAGCGACTCTGGAAAACAAGTCCCCGCTTGAGCTGAAATATATTGAAATATAGTTTGCGTACTGTATGTACTACAATGTTGCATATTAATATGTCACTACTTGCGACTTCAGCGTACATGTCTCCGACCGCCTTCCACAATCTTCACCAAGCAAACCATCCGCTTGAAACGTGGCTCCCAGGGTCGTCCGCGGTGCAAACAACTCCGATTGTCGCATAGGAGTACATCACCACTAGACCAGCGGTGGCGGTAGACAAACCTGAGTGGTGCGGTGGTTGAGCCAGGGTGATTGGAGACATCATCCTGGGAACACTTCCCAAAGTTCTTTGAAGGGCTTTGGGAAGGCTCAATTCAGCGGCTTGGGCTTGGGATCTCATCCTTTTTTTGAATTTGAAGCTTATTGTCCCAGAGATCACAACACAACATCAAAGAACATGAAAAAACCGAAACGGGCAAAGTGAATGGGGCTAATTGCCTAGAAACCTGGGGCCGTAGGTCCGTAGGTCTAGCACTAGAAAACCTGACACTTCCCGGAAATCTCAAACCAGCTTGGCATTGAGACTGACTGCAGCTTCAGAAACCTTAGCGACTCGAATGTCGCTTTGGAACCGTTCTCTGAGCAGCCAAGCTACTCGGGTTTGGTGATGTGCTGGTTGATTTGCCTGTGTCACTGGAACTCGAAGGCACAATTCTGACCAGCTATATAGATTTGAGATAGAACAACAACAGACTTTATATAACAGCACTATATTATGCTCATTTTGCCTCCGGACTCCAGATCCCTTCTTTTGCACCAGAACAGACCCCAACAAGACACCGAAGACAGCGATCCACCAGTTTGGTTCCAAGATATTACTGTCCGAGCCCCTTGAGCCTGATCAACGCTCGTCCTTCTTGCAGCTCAACGCCCTCTATGTGGCTGCAGTGCTTTCCCGTGAAGAAGGACCTCGTGATCTTCGGGCGGATCGTTGAGTTCGACACATCGAACCCCCAACAGCGGGGGCATCCCAATCCGCCAACTGCAATCTGAAGTCCTTTACATATGGCTGAAGTCTCCACCCTGATATCTGTTATATCTTCACCAGGTGGAGCTAAGAAACAGGTCTCTCGACCGACTCACTCACTCTCGGTCCAAGTCTCGGTCTCGGTCCTCGCCCCCATCGGACCCCACCAGGGCCCCACCAGGGCCCCCCCCACCTCCCTTTCGCTGTCTCGCGCAGCAGGAAGTGCCGCGCAGGAGGCAGCTGTTTCCGCAGGCGCGAGGAGCTGCTCACATCTGGCGCTAGACGAGCGCTTCTCGTCTGGACGGCCGAGGAGAGGCCAAGGCTGTAGGCGAAATCGTGGACACCTGGGCACCGCATCGGTGGAAGCCTGTTCTGTTCTGTTCCACTCAGGGAACATCAGCCGTGGAGACTTTCCAAAGCCCCACGCATCCGGCCGGGGCATACCTGTTACATCCTGTCCCTAGGGCTCCTGGCCCACCTCCTGAGAAGATGGTTGGGGTGGGTGCGAGGGGGCTCTAACCACCTTCTGAGGATATGGTTGGAGCCCTAGGCTATTCAATAGCTATTCTCAGTTGATCTTTTTGGGGCTGTCAACACCGCCGCCCACTACGAATCACTTCAATTCCGTCACCTTTGCCCGGTGCCAAGACTCGGATCTCCTCCGTGAAAGTTCAAACGGCCTTGAAATCTTCACTTCAAACCCTGCCGAAACGGTCTTTGCTACGATCAGGCACAAATCAGATTCTCCAGCTCCTCTTTCCCATCAAAAGCTTCCAAGGCTGCTCGCGTGGAGGCAAATTCCGTCTCTCCACCAGCACCTGGCTCGGTCGGGTGTTCGGTCTCGCGACGGTCGGGTGTTCGGTCGAGCGTGCACGGACCGGAACGGAACGCGCGTGGAGCAAGCTCGAGTTTTGCGCGTCCTTTGGTTCAAAAGGCAGGGGCAGCCCGGCATCCGCTTTCAGGAAATCCTGTAGCACCTGGTGGTTCAGTGATGAGTTCTTTGAATAGTTCGAATTTGAAGTGCCACCTCAGTGGTGCTCACATCATCCTTCGGATCCTTGCAGCAAAACACCGAGATGCCAGGGAATGCGGGGAAAGAGTCCAGCACCCTGGATCTGAAGATATGCCCCTCTCCAAGTCATTCAGGTTCTTGTCTAAACGTAGCACACTCTCTCTCTCTCTCTCAATCCTGATGTGCTCTGGTGAATCTGCATCCAACTACCATAGATACCTATCAATAGGGCGGATTCTTGCCAATGTAAATCGGATCGACATCAGTGGGTTCAGCTGCTGAGCCACTTCATCACCCAGTACCCTCCGTAGATGGGGGAGCTCTCAATCCGTAGGATCCTTTTTTACAAGAAAGAAAGTGCTTTGATGAGTCT